GTTGCAGCCATAGATGGAATTATCTTTTTCATACTTTTATCTTTATGTTTGATCAAAAATAAGGCAATGAAACAAATTCAGCTTTTTCAACAACTTCAAATGTTGTTAATTGAGTAACAGCATCCATGATAAATACTGCTTCATAACTGCAACCTGGTAGGATTTTACAGGGGAGCATTCTTGACCAGTCAGGATAAAAATTGGCTGATTTTCATCGCCGGAAAATACTGCAATTGTGAGATTTAGTCCAACGTGTTCTGAAATTTGCGTTTTTATTCAGTTCCATTGATAAAAATGAAAAATAAAGGAAAAAAGGTTTTTCTATTTTTCAAAAATAGAATTAGGCTCCAATATTAACTAAAGATTCTGACACGTGTACAAAAAGGAGTCAATAATTTTGTGTTTTGCTTGTGCAAACCATAACCTCACCAACCTTACTGATTCTGCTGCCATGTAGTGAACAGAGAGAGCAGCTGTGTGGGTTTGGGCTCACCGTGAACATGAACAGGGTGTAGAACATGAGCGCCATGGCTGAAAAGGACTGGATGGAGGACATCATGTTCCTCTGCAGGCTCAGTGGGAGGACAACTACCAGCGAGACGGCAATCAACAGAACCACACGGAAACTGCCCGTCACCTTCAAAGAGCAGAGCAACAGCTTAATCCCAAGAATTTCAAACACTTCACTAAACAGTCCGGAGTCCAACTCCCATCCTGTCCCTCTGTTAAAGGTTTTGAACATTTTTATAAAGAAAGAATGAATCTGAGAGAGGGTCCAAATAAAGTCAAACCTGTAAACCTAACAGCTGAGCAAAGAAATTAGAGCCCAAGTCAGCGATGACAACATAGAAGGCGATACAGGTTCCAAGCATCAGACCGATCATACTGCAGACACAAACAAAAGAAAGATAATCAACCGTTAACTTTATATTCTATTCACAGATATATTATTAGAACATAAAACATATTTAACTTTTCACATAAAGACAGACCAATAGTGGTTATTTTGACATCAATCTAACCAAT